ATCCTGCTCGCTGCCTGCTTGCCCTGCCTGCGCTATGCCCTGCTCACTGCGCTCCTGGTTGCCCGCGCTCCCTGGGGTGGGATTTTACCCACTGAGGGCTGGAGCCTTCACTCCTGCCCCCTGTGAGTCCCTGCTCTCAGCTGAGCTGCGGCTCCTGGGCAAGTCCTGTCCAGGACTTGAGGCTCCCTCGGTGGCTCTCGCCGCTCCGAACTGAGGCTCTGGGACACTGAGCTCCCCCGGCTCCGGGGTTGAGGCGTCCTCTCTGGAGGTACTCCCCTCGGCAGAGCAGTAGCTGTGCTGCTGTATTCTGAACTGGCCTTCGTGTTCCTCTTATTTGCCCATACTATTGCTAACGTAGTGCTGGGCCCTGCACGTCTAGAAAATGGCTGTACCATGGGTGCAAAACATGGAATCACAGTAGATATAAAGAGTCTGCCCTTTGGTGTTTGGATTTTTTAAACATTAGGGTATAATAAACAGAGGGTTTGTGCTGTAATTGTAATCTTGTTTTGGTAGGGAAACATTTTAGATATGAAAACAAGAAGAAACACCTCATCTTTTAAAGTACAAGCTAATAGAAGACTTTAACACATTGTCAGTCCCAAATTTATGGGTGCATACTAGTGAACTGGCTTAATTGCGTCTACTCAAAGGATCTTCTAGGTAAAAGGTTTATAAAGCCTGAACAGGGTGTTCTCTGGTGCAGGTCCTTTCCCCTGGAATTTACTCATGCAGGAAACCTATCAAGACCCATCTCATTTCATAAAGAAACATATTCCTTTTGTCCCAGCCTCTCACCAGTGCTGGCTCCAGATCTCTTGGTTTGCAGCTTCCTGGCAGTGTTTTGTCTCTGTCCTTCAGAATTCCATTGTTCTGCAGAGTTGTGCTATGTTCATTCCATGTACTTGGAAAATGGTACAACTTCCAGTGTAAGCCAGGCCGTGCTAATTGAGCACTCAGAAATAATTGACAATGCTTGTGTTGCTGGGAGCCAGATGGTGACACCTGGATTAGTGAGTGGTATCTGCAGCAGCCCCTCGGTACCTACTAGAAGTTCTAATGAGAACAACTTCCCCTGAGGTACAGTTTGTGAATGACTGAGGCTGGGTGTGAACTTAGACTAATAACAATTCATATACCTCAAGGAATTCTCCAGCCCTAAATGAGTACTGCAGCCTGCTGCTAAACGTCAAATGGGCACTAGCCGTTGGGGCAAGGAGATGAAGAACTGATCTCTAGTATCAGCTGCATGGTTTTAAAACATTGACATGTGTAGGCTTGAGACGCAAATACAACAGTTAGTCCAGCTCACGTTTTGCCAGCTGCCAAAAATCTACGTGTGGTTTCTAAACTTATTTCCCTATTTCCCATTTCCTTGATCAGCTGTAGATGGTTTTGCCATTTCAGAAACCTGAAATTGAAATATTAATGGTCATCACAAGTTCAACATTACTGGTTCTCTGAGTATACAACCAAAAAAACCCTAAACTAATGCTGTTTTTCAATTCAGTAAATACAATGACTTCTTTGTGTTTGAACATTGGCCCTTAAGTTCTGCTGGAATTTCTAGATTGATGTCATATAGTGCACCAAAGACAAAAGGGCTCTTCAATCTGATTGAACTTCTACAGAAGATGTGAACATTTGCTTACAGAACGTGTTTCTCATAAAGTCAAAAACATTTGCCACTTGTGATGTTGAATCACAGTCAGAAGACATGATCTTCAGAGGAGACTTGTTTAGATTGACAGAAATAGTATCCTTTATGGCCAGAATGCTATCTTTCTCTAGCTAGGTACACAGGCAAGTTTCTACAGAGGAATGTGCTCTATGGTCCTCTGCTCTCCAGCAGCTCTGAAGGTTCTCATTTCAGAGTACAGCTTTTCTTTGCCCCCATTTCCACTAGAACTTGCTGTCCAAGGAATAATCAGACTTGTGTGGAGCTGGCAAATGCCGACAGGAAAGGCTATTGCTCATCTAAGTGCTGGACAATGCACTGCCACAATGGCTTCTGTAGAACTTGAGGCAGAAGGGAAGCGCAGATTCTCCACGTGCTGATCCAGTTCCCTAGCTTTTGTGTCTGCTTAAGAGGACTGTGCATTCGCAGTTGACCTGTGTGACTTACAGCTTTTTTGGGAGCTTCTGTTCTCGTTAAAGAGCCTGTCTGTCAAAAGGCTTTCTCTGGGCAGTTTTTTTTCCTTACCAAGTGGTGAAGCTTTGAGATGTAACCAGCTGTGTCTTATTCGGTATGACAGCAAGGAAACCACTTAAGCCACTGATGCAAATCAAATGTGATCCTAATGTTAGTCCTAAACAGAAACACTCTCAACAAATCCAGAGACCGAGGTCCCACTTGATTGCATGTAAAACAAATACATCCCCTTCATATACTTACGAGTATTTGATTACTATTATTAGTCATGAAATCATTACCTGCATTACCTCTTTCCTGTCTCAAACTTAGAGTAGCTGAGCTTACACAGCTATTGTCCCGGGTTATCAGTCAGTGTTTTGTTACTTCTCTGAAAAGCACTTTGGTTGCTCTGCTTTAAAATCCCCAACCTTACAGAGCTCTTATCCCAGGAAACCAGGAGTCAGAATTTATTGGATTGGAAATAATACCGCAGCTGTGTTGATGTAGGTTCTTCACATTGCTTTCATGGCAAGATCAGGAGTTAAAAGAGTATATTCACCTCCAGTGATAACACACCCAGCCCCTAGTCAAATGAAATGAACTGGTTTGTTGGAGTATTTATGAAGTCAACAAAATTGCATGTTATATCAATGGGAGGAGAATAATTGCACTGGGTCAGCTCATGTTTCCTGGTTTGCTTTTTCTTTTCTCTGATTTAGAATTTAGTATTTGCATCACTTCAGGATATAAACGTTGCCATAATGCTATTAAAAAGCCACTTACTTGTTAAGTTCTATAGAACTTTTATTCATTAATTGTACAGTGACCAGAACAACCAGATCCTGGTGCTTAACTGGGGCCTCTAAGTACTGCTAAAAAGCATTTCCCTTGATAAGTTGCCCCTTCTCTTTTCCCAGCTTAATCTGAATATCATTTATGAATGGAAGCTTTTGTCTTCAGAGTATTTTTTTTGCATTACATTTTTAAATTTGAATAAATAATTATCAAATAAGAATGAGACCAATGCAGAAGATTCTATTCAGGTTCAATTACTAACACCCTGTTGGGTTAATAAATCCATTAAAGAACTTACACTGGGTGAGGTTCTTTCTCCAGAAATTCTGTGTCTCTTCCTACTTAGGTTAGGTTGAACCTGTAAAGACTAGCTGAGTTACTCCTCATTTGTATCACCAGGAAAGAGAGAGCAATGTAACTCATGGCATGTTTGAGGCTGTGATGTGTAAGAGCTTTTCCGGACACTGTTACCCTGCACAGTTGCCTCTGCAGGTTTGCAGGCAGGACAATCGTGAAGGTGGTTCCTCCCTGACCTTTTTTAACCACTCTGTTTCTGTCTTCAGGTGTGGGTGGATGCTGGAACACAGATATTTTTCTCTTATGCCATCTGCTTGGGGTGCTTGACAGCCCTGGGAAGCTACAACAACTATAACAACAACTGCTACAGGTAATACCTTCCACACTTTTACATTTGGTTTCAGTGGTGGAAGCATCCACATACTTCACTCAGAAGTACTTTGCCTTTAGCAATTTGCAGATAAGCACATGCTCAGGGTTTTGTAGAACAGAGATCTATAATGTTTCATATAATTGTCTCAGAGGAAATGTTCTCCAAAATCTGGTGTTTTCATCCCTTTTGATCATACCTGACCCTTGCAGAGCCAGAAGCCACTCAGTACACACAGGTATACACAATTGCATATATAATGTACAAAGTTCATACATGTATAACTGCATGTATGTACAATATTTGATTGTTAGTGAATATCTGATTTAAGAAAAAATCCTACAAAGAATTGTTACTAAAAGTCACCTGAGTTTGGTCTGAATGTTCCTTTTACCACAGTTGACTGTCTCCTCACTAGAGCACAGTAGGAATAGACAGTATTTAATTGCTTATCTTTGTAGAAATCAGTAAGGAAATTACTAATGACTTCAATAGAGTTTAATCTTTCCTGAATCAATGTCAAAAGGACATGACACACAGAATTCCCATTCTATTTTACCAGCATGGGCAAGACCATGAGCAATACTTTTTTTCTTCATCAGTAGTTAGTGAGTTAGGTTTCCTACTATTCAACAGCTTCTAAAAGAAGACAGTAAATGACAGGTTGATTATGCTGAGTCCATTATGATATCCAGACAGAGAATTAAAATTAAATTTTCCATAAAGTAAATACTAGAATCCAAAAGCCAAAGAACCCCAAATAGAGCCTCATCCCCCACAAAGTGTAAGTATTTGAATTCTAAATTACAGGTTTATTTGGAGAGTTCAGGAGACAGTTTTAGGAAACCCCTTCTTTCAGTATCTTGGCAACAATCTGCTCTTCTGCCAGAGAAACACCAAACAGTGGGGCCCTCCAGAGAGAGAGGGAACCAGGATACTGAAAACCATGGAGACAAATCTATCCACCAGCTGAATATCTGCAAAGCTACCCAGCAGCAGGTGCAGGTACTTTGGCATCTAAATGTGTAAAGTAACTTAGCAGGAACTCAAATTGCACTCTGCTTGGCTATGACAGCCCAAATTCCAAATGTTACTGCCTAAAGTAGTGTAAGTAGAGTCAGACAGCCTCAGCAGACAGAAGAGGCCAATCTTCCTGTCCCTGCTTCAAGTGGCTCTGGATTTGCAGGGCAGACCCAGCTCCCTGCAGCACACTGCACAGCATCCCTGCAAGGGGAAGCACTGCTTGGTCTCACTCCAGCACCATCCTGTGTCCTGGAGCCTGCACTGTGGTGGGACCTGTGTCAGCCTGACTACAACAGGTTGATACCGGAGTGCAGAAGACAAAGGAGACATGTCTCACACTGCCAACAAGTGGACTAAACTGTTCAGAAATGAAGATGTGGCCTTTATCAAGAGGAAAAGAGGAATGCACTTTGGGGATCCCTGAGGGTAAGGAAGTAACCGGAGGGATGAAAAGGCTCTGTGGGCTCTTCTAAAAAGCTCCTCAAAGAAGGCAGAATGAATTTTCAGCAGTATCCTGCTGGCCAGGCAGGGAGAGGATAAGGGATGCAGGTCTTGAATTATTCAGGTGATTGGCAAGACGTTAGTTTAGAAAAATACTAAAGTGCCACAACCTTCACCTGATAAAAAGAAAAATCTTCTTGTTTGGGCTGTGTCTGAAGCTTGGGAATTATCTAAGGTAAATCTTACCTGCAGAAAACACACTGTTCCAAATGAGAGGCATCGTCCAACCAGTGAGCAGCCAGATCCATCCAACTGAAGTAGGATCTCTCCTCCCACACTCTCCCCAAAGGATTAAAAAATACACAGACTGCCAAGGGGCTTTGCTGGAATGCGTACCAGGACTTCCAGAATATGAACTGCTTCTGATTCTCAAAAAGTCACTACAAATCCATGACAAAGATGGGACTCGATACTGAAGATGTGGATTCAGAACCTGTTAGGTTTTACAGGGTCATTTCTTCTCATAGGTAACTTGCACAAAAATTTGCTTCAGATTTAGGATGGGAATAAAGCAGACTAAGGTATAGGCTTGACAGAACTAAAAGCTTGCCTTGTGTTTCAGTGGTTTGGAATCCTAATGTACTTTCAGGCATGTAGGTTAGATTATTACTTTCTCAAGTACACAGCTTTCACAGCAAACACTCCTAAAAGGCTGACTGTCAGGATAAATCATGCCCAGCTCATCGCTGTCACGCCGCAAGTGCTGTCTGAAAGCAGGATGAACAAGGATATTTCACTGGGCTCTGGGGAAAGATCACACCTTGCTGCAAGACCATTTTCCCTTTTTTCACAGTGATTTACTACTGTGACATTTCCAATCTGGGAAAGAAATATTTCTTCACCTTGGCCTTGTAACTGTCGTTGTTTGATGTGTAGGATACACAGGTCTGAGAGATCTGCACTGTCTTTGCCTACTTGTCAGGCACTTTTTTAGGCATGTACATACTTCTTAGACTTTGTTTGGTGCTTTTTGTTACCATAGCTTCTCACAAAAAATCTGTAAACCAAACTGAAATTGTACTTTGTGTGGACAGATATTGCTCATATACTGTAATTGGAATAGAATTAGCTAAGATCTGACCATAGGGGCTTTTTTCCAGGAAACAAATTAATACCAACTTTATATAGTTTATAAATGAGTTCATATCCTCTGGAATACATTACTGCAACTACTGACATGAAATTATTCTTTATACCATTCTTACAGTATTTTTACATGTTTTTATAGCTTCTATCAAAGAGCAGTGAGTGAGTAGCAACAGGTTTGTAATTTAACCAGTTAAAACACACATGGGTATAATGATGGTTTCTTCCTGCAAATAGTTACACTTGTCTGATAATACCAGTTGGGAGCTTACTCTTAATGAGCAACTTAATGTCCTGCAGTGTGGGGTGCTGTAAGTCCTACTGCTCAGTAGGTGAAGCAAGCCAGGCTCTGGACATCAACTGTACTGTTTCTTATTTATATTTTCAGAGACTGCATCATGCTCTGCTGCTTGAACAGTGGCACAAGCTTTGTTGCTGGTTTTGCTATCTTTTCAGTTCTTGGATTTATGGCTTATGAGCAAGGCGTGCCCATTGCAGAAGTTGCAGAATCAGGTAAGTTCCAAAAGCAGTTTTCAGAGTTGCTGAAAAACGCCCAGAGGTTGCTGTCAGAACACTGGGTCAGTGCCACAAAGTCTTGCTTAATGTGTACTATCCAAACACAGATTCTAACAGTCAGAGGGCTTAATGCCATCTTCTGATGTCACAAAGTTTTTCTCCCAGGGACATACACTGAGACACTCTGGTTGATTAAGTATAGAAGTTCTTTTTTCCAGTCCAGAAAGGCACAAAGGCTTTTAATGAACCACCTAATGTTCATTACCACCCCTTGGAAATAGGCATCCAATGGAAGTTAGTTGCTCTTTAACACCTTTGTGGATATCACATCTTGAAGCATCACTTAAAACTCAGCAGAAGAAAAAGAACAGGAGGGACACCAGAAAGGAAAGCAGTATAATGCTGAACAGTTGAGAGGAGAAATGACTCTCATGAAGTTAGTCAAGGTTAGCAGGAAAACTGTGAAGCAGAGCTTCACTGATGCTATCATGGAAAAGACTTCTCCTTTCCTAAAGCCCTCAAGGCAACTGGCTTTTGACTACTATAGAAACTTTATAGAGAAAGGTTAAAAGACTACAGCAACTCTGGAAATTATAGGAGTTTGTAAATACTGTTAAATGCAACAGCTGGAGTGTGCTGTTGTTCAGCTGACACGTTTTCACTGAAGTTACTGCAGCAGGAGTGCAGAGGTACTCCTCTTGACCTTCAAACATTTGGACAGGATGTAGGCAGTGTTGATATGCCAAGCAAGTCTTCATTACTGATTAGCCTCATCACCAAATATTTAGACTATTGGAGATGTAGAGTTTTTCAAGTTGTTTAATATTGTATTTAGCTTCTCTAATCTGCCGTAAAAGAACAGTCAGGTTGTGGTGGGTTGACCCTTGCCAGCAGTTGAGCTTCCACACTGTTGTCACGCACTTGCCCGCCCCAGTGGGACGGGGCAGGGGACAGGAAGCGAAAAAGGGAGAGCACTGATGGCTCCAGATAAAGAGGTTAATAAAGGGTGCTGTGGCAGCCCCAAGGCTGCTGTTGGCAGTGCTGTTCTACTCACAGATCCTCACCACAGTGCTCCACAGGCTGCTGGGAAGGAAGCTAACTCCGTCTCAGCCAGACCCAATACACAAGTGTAAGCTATTTCCTTTCTTCCTTTTCAGGACCAGGACTTGCATTCATTGCTTACCCTAAAGCTGTTACCATGATGCCTCTTTCTCCTCTGTGGGCAGCTCTGTTCTTCATGATGCTCATATTCCTTGGATTAGATAGTCAGGTATGAAACAAATGCTATTTAAGTATTTTGTCAGATTCCCTAGCATGTGTATGGCAGCATCTCACCTGATGAAAGAATGAACCCTAACTAGTCCCTTGCATAAAACCATCATTCAAGTTTCTTATTTTGAATCTTTTAAATCTTATGTGATGCAGATTACTTTATGATTTCCTGTGACACTGATTCAGCCTGACTACAGCTTTCATTATGAACACTGCCACCCGTCTGAACTTAAGTATGGGTGATTAAAATTCACAGATCAGTAAATACCAGTGTGCCTTCTTTTCCCATTTTTGAAGCACTTTGCAATGAATTTTATAACTGAATATCAGATAGTGCTAGTGTAAGTTCCTAGGGTGTATTTATACTTCAAGATACCGAAGCAAGAAATGTGTAGTCATATTCTGCAGCAAAGTGACAGCATAGAAGTTTTTCTTCCTATGTGACAATCAAAATTATGAAAGCTGTTTGATGAACAAGGTAAAGTAGGTGGCAGTTTTAGCATGCAGCTCAGCTCTCAGCGTGCCTTGGTTCAGAAAGTTTATGACTGTATACTATAGAATAAGTATATTCTTAAGTGTATACCCTTCACTGCTTATTTTGCATGACATTAAATTTAACATTTTTGTAACTGCTCTTTTCCTGATCAAACAATTCTTTTAAAAGTCTTTTAAAATGGGCACTTTCTGAATTCTTCTCCTGACTGTTGCAGTGAAGCAGGTTTCACATTGGCTACCACTGGCCATTCATTTGGGTGCCTATTTTAGAAACCTTCTCCAGAGCCCCGAGAGAGAAGCCTCTTGCTTTCTGCTGATTTTCAAAGTTAGTAAGAATGTCCCTTCCCTCCTTCCTTAGCTGTACTTGTCTTGGGCACTTAATAGCTTTGTGGAACTTCTTTCTTCTGTAAAAGGGAGAGAACTTCTCCAAAACCCCTGCAGCTCCTTTAGCAGTGCTAGAAGGTGCACAGCACTGCAGCTCACTCCTGTGAGTGACAGAAGTGCTGGGTGCTTGGAGGGCAGTTCTGCTGCAATCCTATGGATGGTTTGTACAGTATTGAAGTCCCATTCAAGCCACGTTTGAAAGATTTAATTTATGTAATCCATCTGCTGCAGGGCAAGTGCATTCTGGGGTAATATTAGTGGAATTTGAGTTTGGTGGTGGTCTGGAAATCTGTAGCTTTGGTCTTTTTAATTCTGAAATTATGTTCCTCTCAGTTTGAGCTTCTCCTTATAGAGTGTCCCCAGGGATCATTCAGTCTCTCTGATGGGAACATCGAAGGACATTTGAAGTGTTTTTGTAGCAAATCCAAATCCCAAAGCAGATGAGACTCATACTTCATTTGTACTTTCCTATCATTTGTTGTAGTTCGTGTGTGTTGAAAGCCTGGTGACAGCTGTTGTAGATATGTACCCAAAAATCTTTCGAAGGGGCTACCGAAGAGAACTGTTGATTCTTGGCCTTTCCATTGTGTCCTACTTCATCGGCCTAATAATGTTAACTGAGGTAAGATGTGCTTTGTTGTATTGCTGCAGAGAAAAGGGAATGGGCTTCTGTTTATAATCATAGCAGGTAAAATGCAAGAACATTTGCCATACCCACATTTCACTGTCAGAAATGTGACCACAAAATACTTGAGACACTCTTCTCAACTATTGTGGAACAGCTGAAATGTGGAATGTGTCCTCAGTTCTTCAGTTGGGCTTAGGAAATATTTTAATCCAATTTATGTAGCCAAGGAAATTCCATCTGCTTTGCACCAGCCAACCAGCTCTATTGACAATGGTTTCTGCTTGCTTACTATGGGCAGACCTGCCTGAAAACAAGTACATTTTGGATTAATAGATCAATCAAGAAGATGGAGTAGAGTGAAGATAGGAAACCAAAACATCTTTGATTTGTATGTCACCAGGCCAGGTCAGTCAATGCAGCCAATCTCTGAGCAGCAACTGCTTCAGGAAGAGTGACAGAAACAAAGCATAAAAGAAATAAATCTTTTTATCCAGACAAACCAGGGTGTTTGCTTTGGGATGTTCTAAATCATTCTGAGAGTGTCAGCCCATCCATCAGTTCATGATACAACACCTCTGCTACTTCTTTGTCTGGTACCCAGGTTGGGAGGGGACTCTGGGACCCTTTGGTTCTTGGTAGTAGCTTAGTGCTTGCTTTACAGAGTGACGTGTATCAGCAGTTTTCCTCTCAAGACCTCAAGAGAAAGGGGCAGAATCCCCACTCTCCTCTGCCCATAGTCTGCTTCCTATGGGCTGTTAGAGCTTCCCTGTGTCAGGGAGCGAGGCAGAGAAAAAAGAGTTTCCTAATCTGAAGGTTGGTCCAGGGGAGCCAGGCCACTTTAGTGGCCAAGGGCCACACTGTGTCTGCTGGTTGCTATTGTGGCACTACTGATTTCAGAGGATGGCAGGATGTTGATAGTGCAGTGTGCATGGTGCAGGGATGCCGTCCTGGTGCAGGACAAAGTTTGGGCTTGCTCTCTGTCCTGGGTTCAGCTACAGCAGTCATTTTTTCTCCTTCTTAGTAGCTGGTGCAGTGCTGTGTTTTTGACTTTCAGTCTGGGAACAATGCTGATAACACCGATGTTTTTAGTTGTTGCTAAGTAATGTTTACTCTGACCAAGGACTTTCTCAGTCTCATGCTCTGCCAGGGAGGAGGGGAAGCTGGGAGGAAGCAGAGACAGGACACCTGACCCAAACTGGCCAAAGGGGTATTCCATACCACAGCACGTCATGCCCAGTATAGAAACTGGGGGGAGTCACCCGGAAGGCTCAGATCACTGCTGGGGTCGGGCTGGGTATCGGTCGGTGGGTGGTGAGCGGTTGTGTCCTTTTCCCTTGTTATTCCTCTTATCATTATTATTGGTAGCAGTAGTGGTTTGTATTATACCTTAGTTACTGGAGAGCTGTTATCTCAACCCATGGGAGTTACATTCCTTCGATTCTCCTCCCCATCCCTCCGGGAGCGGGGGGAGGAAGGAAAAGGGGGGGAGTGAGCGAGCGGCTGCGTGGTTCCAAGTTGCCGGATGGGCTTAAACCACGACACTCTCCTTTCTGGAAGTGCAGAGGTTGCTATTGTAAAGCCATCTGGAGACCAATTTAACTTGTTAGGAAAACATGTTTTAAAGGCTTGCTTGGAGTCAGGGTGATGCTTGGGTTTGGGAGGGTGTCAGTAACGACTCAGTAATGTGGCTTAAAGGCTGTGAGCTACACCCAAACTTTATAGGTTGATTTATTCATTTTATGGTCCCTATGCCATTGGAAAGTGATTCTAGTAACTACAGATTTTGCCTTCTTTCCCCATATTTTAACTAATTCCTTTACATATGAATAGCACAGATACAAAACCAAGACCCTGCTTCTTCATGTGCAGTGGTCTGGAGTTGAAAAGCACCTGTAGAGGTCTACAGCTTGATGTCATAACAAATGAAGCTGAAAAAAGGCAGGGAGACAGGAGAGCGCTTTGGAATCAAGTCAGATGTCGTTCTCTCTACTCCAGCATTTACTATGTTAAAGCAAATGTCTGCTATTCAACTGTCATTCAAGGGAATAATCTTAAGTGCTATGGAAGCAAAAATCTTTCACAATAAGAAATCACTGAGAAATGAATATTCTTTGTTCAGGAAGGAAACCCAACTTCAGTAGGAAGATTGCCAGGGAACCAACAGATTGACTGTGTAATTAAAGACATATTTCCTATGGAATACTCTCACTGGTGCCAACACAATAGCTTTATTCCTTTATCTGGTTTTGTCTTCCAGGGTGGGATGTACGTCTTTCAGTTATTTGACTCCTATGCAGCTAGTGGCATGTGCCTTCTCTTTGTTGCCATATTTGAATGTGTCTGCATAGGCTGGGTTTATGGTGAGTTGCTGAAAACTGCTGAGGTTCCAGGTTTTATGGAAGTTTTCTGTTTGTATAAAAGCAGTGTGAAAGCCTTGTACCCTTATGGGATGGGGCTCTCCACGTCCCCATGCCCTACCATAAATCAGTATGGCCTTTTTTCCCCACTCTAAATAACAGAAATAGTGAAATAGATTTATTTATTTATTTTCCCCTTAGTCCTTGTCAGGACTGACCTACACCTTCCTTCCCCCGGGCATGTTCCCTTCCACTGCTGACAGTCACAGGTATATCCAGGGAAGCTGGAATTCCTGCCTCATTACCACAGGGAGGGACATAGCAGTGTCCCTACCTCTGCTGCTTGTCTGTCAGCAAAGCCAAGAGCAAACCACTGTGGATGTTCATGGTTACATGCTCTAGCAGGTTTTGCACACATAAGACTATCAGTATGACCTTCAGCTCCCATGTCCCCAGCTGTAGAGGGAGTCACACACAAGCTTGTAGCATACAGATACACTTTAACTGGCTTCGCTCAGACTGTTAGTGCCCAGAAGCCATTTCTGTTTGACAGCTGGACCACTTCTTTACTCACAATGGTCCCACAGTGGGCAGCAATCTCTGTGGCAAGTATGGAACAGATGACAGAGATGTAAGTGTCAGGGAAAGACACAGCTTCAGCCCTCGCTGCTCTGTCAGAAACGCCGTTGTTCTCTGTATGTTTTGAATACTGACCTGTGCAACCTCTTCCATGTCCATTCTACATCTGCTTTTCATTTGTTTCCTGGGGCAGGCAGCAATCGCTTTTATGAGAACATTGAAGACATGATTGGGTACAAACCACTGTCACTGATCAAATGGTGCTGGATGGTTTTAACTCCCGGGATTTGCGCGGTAAGTACAGAGCATTCAAAGAACTTGGTTTAAACACAAGGAGGATTTTCTGTGCTTACCTTCAGAATTTTGCTGCTGCTACTAGTTCACAACAGTTGAGAAAGTCTCCTGATTCATAGCATAGGTCCTAGTTAAAAACCACTCTGTAGGATCTGTTAAATGTGTGAGTTGCGGGAACTCTTAGTATACACAGTAATAGGAACGGCCCTACATGAACATTTGCCAGTACAATGGAGGCTTTTTTTCACTGCATCTCTACTACACCTTGTGTTTATCCCGCGTAACTCAAGCTCCTCCAGACTCATGCTGGTTTCTTGGCTGCTCCAGCCTACTTCCTTCTCTCTCTTTGGTTAAGTAGACATTTTTCAGACAGGACAGTTTCTTTCTTCTAGCAAAAGTAGTGGCCAAAAGCACATCTGATATGCATGAAGAAGGGGAAGGAATTTGCCTTAGCAGTGCTGGTGCCAACTCTGGGGATCTGCTGTGGCTACACAACAGGGCCAAAATTACAAAAGAAGCATGACCAGTTTGTCCATACGTTTGATCCACAAGTGCTTGAGGATTAGATGCTAAAACCTTCCAGCTGTCCAACACAAGTGATAGCAGATGCAAACCCACAGATGCTGGGTCATCTGGAGATCCAGGTTCCCTTGAGCTCTGCCAGCTCATTCACAAACTTGGGTACCTTTCTGACTCATTTTTACCAACTCATAAATGAACTTAGTATCTCTTGCTCTTGTACACTCTTTTCACCACTTTGGAGAAAGTTTATAGTAGCTTTTCTATATTTCATAAACTTAAATAGCCCAAACTGCTTGATGAGACACCTGCTGAATTTAGACAGCTGTATTTGAGCTTCTGTGAGGATCAAAGAGCTGGCCTGCAGAACTGCAAACACAGAGAGCAGATTAAGGCAACTCTGAAAATGCTGGCTTTCCTTTTTCATCATGACGGGTTGGAGAGATGTTGTGTTACTTAATCACAGCTGGTTCAAGGGAGCAAAGCTTCATCTTTCTTGCCCAGGTACTGTTTGCTATCAAAATGCAGGTTTTATTGTCATCAAGAGGTAAACAGGATTTAAACTTGAAAGGTTGTTAGTTTCTGTGGAAGCTACTGAGACATGTTATTTAAGCTGTGCATAAAAGCAGACACTGCTGCTTGTTTTGTTTCTCTGACTGAAAAGCTTACCTCTTCGTTCCATTTTTAGGGAGACCAGCCCTGCTTAAACAGTCAATTATTTTCTTGTTCCACAGGCAGTGTTTTGTCAAATACCACTAATACATTTCTCTGCTTATTTCAGGGAATCTTCATCTTTTTCCTGGTGAAATACAAGCCTCTGAAATACAACAATGTCTATATATACCCTGACTGGGGCTATGGCATAGGGTGGATGATGGCGCTCTCTTCCATGATCTGTATCCCCCTGTGGATCTGCATTAAGCTGTGGAAGACAGAAGGCACTTTCATAGAGGTAAGATACATTTTCAGATTAATAATACCAAAACCAGAAATGGGAAAGGAGTGTGAGCCCTCACCTCAAGAGACTAAGCGCAGTTTAATCAAAGAAGCAATGCCACATGCCTGTTCTGGTGGCAACTTGGGTTAGGTCTTTCAGTCACTGGTGGAAAGAGGGATATGAATTTTCTTTCTTTTCTTCTGAATGTACAGTTTGTGGCAAACTAAACAATACTATAGATTTGAGGAGCTCTGTTTCTGCTCAATTTGTAGCTTAAAATGCCTGTAACATCAGCAAAATCCTTCAAGAAGGTTAGTACCAGCCATTCATTCTGGTCAGCTGTCTTCTTTCATGGCCTTGGTACCTAATGTTTGTGCTGGTAGGATTTTCCTCCAGGAGCTGGGTTGCAAACCTCACATACGTCTTGTGGACAGTTTTCCTGATAACAGTTCTCTAAGTGAGAAGTACAGGCAGAAAGAAATATTCAGTGCCATTTACTAACACTTGGTATCAGGTTAGCTCAGATCCAGGCTGAGGCAAAGATTATTAAATATATGACCTTTTCTTCAAAGAAAGACAGTGAAGATGACTATCTATAATGGAAGAAACAAGAATATAAACCTAATTCAGCCATTTGGGATTTCTCATATTGCAGAAAAGCCTAGTTCTGTCATCAGAAGCTCCTTACATACTAGTCAGTGCAAGTAGGTATCTGTATTGCCTCCTCCTATCTCCTATCTAAATGTATCTGAGTACCTCTCTTTGCAATAGGTACTGCATTCCTGAATGGAGAAGGTAACATGCAATTTATTTTGCTGGCTGATGGCAGTCCATGTTGAAATGACTCCATTAAGCCAATTAAATAGGGCCCGGAGACTACCTGGGAAACCTTTGCTGTGGCTATAGAGCCACGAAATTAATTGTCTGCAATATAATTGTCTTTGTATGTCAAAAAGGAAGTTTTGCACAAACCTTAACATTATTTCCTTAATGCATCAACCTTTCCCTGTCTCTGCAAGTAAATACACTTTGTTTCCAGCTGAAGCACTGCAGACAGGTTATTCTCTTTTCTGTACATGAACATGGGAGGGGGTTTTAGTCACAATTGGGAGCTTCTCAGTAAGCCAACTTCCTGCAACACCTCTGCTCCCCAGCTGAGAGCAGCAATGTTGCTAGAAAAGAGAAAGTTCTTGGATGAACACACATCTTCTTTTTGTTCTTTACTGTAGCTCAATACACTTTGGTGGTCTCTTGTTTATTTTTTCAGTGTATATCCTTTGACTATACCATGAGAAACATAATGCACCCACAGAACAGGCCTTACCCAGAGCATGGAGCTGAGCTGCTTTATGGCAGGGGATGTTACTCGAAATCAGCATGAAAATTCACTTGACTTTGTCTTCACCTTCATTCTCTAATGTTCAGTCTGGTGAGATCTGTAAAGAATTGTGGGGTGTGCAGAATTCTGGATGTACCTGGAAGAGGGCAATGAGAAGTGGAAATGCAAAAGAAAGGGGGTGATAGTCTGTTTAAGAAATGTGTGTCTGTCATCAAGGCAAAAATAATTACTCCTATCTTCTCCAATTTTTTAGAAATTCAGAAAGCTGACTACACCCAGCTCAGATCTGAAAATGAGAGGGAAGCTTGGAGGAGGAGCCTACATTGCAGCAATAAATGACTGCGATGCCAAACTGAAAGGAGACGGCACCATTTCAACCATTACAGAAAAGGAGACACATTTCTGAAAGAACTCTCTTTTTTTGTGTTATTTTTTTTTGTATAAATAAATGAATAAATAAATTCACTTAATTCTAGAGGCTGGCTTGTTTTGCACAGAATTTTATTAACCAGTTAATTATAAAGTGAAAATTGTATACTTGTTTAAAAGTGATTTTTTAAATGACTATATAAGTAATGATTATGTAAAAGAAAAAGAAATAGTTCTCTATGGTATGTTAGTGATGACTTCTTGTAATATGGTGATTGCAGTAAATGTTTTTTGGCAGCTAGAGGGACTGTATCATGTGCTGTACAACTTTTTTACGTTGATTTCTGACAGGTGTAATATTGTATAGATCTGTGCATTCTAACCTGTGAGCATTCCAGACCATTTCAGCTGTTCATGTATGTATATAAAGTGGACAGATGTCCTTGGGTTTATACTGGAACAAACCATGAGTAGATGCAGGAGGACTTGTAGCTGCTGCTGTTATTGCTGTCTGGGGCTGGGCTGCACCCATGGGAGTCAGAAGGAGCCTCTCCAGTGGAGGGGTGTCAGGCTGTGTGGGTTCAGCTGCTGTTCCCTGGGCTGGGAAGGCACATTGGCAACTACCACAGCTCAGCTTCCAGGGTGAGCGTTGGGATGCCGACAGGAAGCACCACCTCAGCTGCTCTTCCCACCTTCCCTCTGCCCTCCATGTGCTTCAGCAGGTCTAAAACTGCTGGAATGGGCCCACTTCTGAGTCACTGATATTTCTGGAGATCGAATAGAGAATATTTCCTAAGAAACACGAATTGTGCTGCTCTTTGTAAGGTCTCTGGGATGATGTGTAGTGCTCTATGAGACCTCTGAAACTTTGCATTTGCCTTTGGGTACCAGGACTTCATTTTGGCTGACACTTCCCATCCCTTGAAGTGAAATGCGTCTGTCTATGCTTGTACAATAGGAGATCAAGGTTATTTTATATATGTGGAGATGTGCTGAGGAAAAAAATAGCAGGTTTAAAGCCTCTCTATTTGCCTTTTTATCTATAGTTTGCCAGTTTGTCTGCCTGTACATCTGTTCATTCCCCTCAGATGAATCCAAGAATCCTGTAATGGCAGTGTGCAGCACTACACAGCTTTTCTCATCTTCAAGGTACTTTCTAGATCCTCTCAGATTAGGCACTGATTCTTCTACCCTGCATGGTATTGAGACTTGCACTGGGTCAGGTCAGGATAGGAGCTTAGTTGGTGGAAGGCTGCTGAAATCTGGTCCTTAATCTCTGCAAGGATTCCAGGAGGTAATTTATGTATGGTGTAGATGAAGGAATCAAGACAGGGATGTTGTGACCTCTCTGTTTTGCAGAGGGAGCAGTATTTGGTTTGTGGTATCAGGCCTTTTTATTCTATCAATTGTATGAACTGACTCCCTCTGATTTAAAACAGATTTTGTATGTGAATGTAGCTGATGGATGGTGGTTACCATGAGGTATGCACGTGCTAGTGTCAAAATCTATCTCTTGGGTTGGTTTTTTTTCCCCTGTCTATATTCCAAACACCATTATTTGTTCTGGGCAACCTTTTTTTCCTTGTCCTGGATTTCTATGTAATGGTTGTGTGAGAAACCTGTGGAGGAAAACTGTCCTACACTGCACAGTACCTGCTGGAGAGAGAAAAGCAACAGCCTAAGCTCAGAAGAAATGTCATGCAATCTGCTGTCTTCTCGGCAAAGCTCAGATACATCATCTGGATCTATTGGGAAGAGAAGTGGCTGCTGGAAACTGCTTCACTACAAGTCACTAAGGATGTCCCGGGATTGTCCAGAACTGTAGATTGGGTCAGCGTTTCTCTCAGATTTTACCTCTTAAAAAAAGCAATTTCATAGAATCACTTTGTCTCAAATCACATAATTAAATCTCATCAATCTATTAAATTTTACTTTATCTTCCCTGTATTTGTGCTGTGGTAAGGTGGAAGTCACAGAGAGAACGTCTCTACCAGGATTCAACTTCAAGTGTTTTAAGTCCTGCTCACCTTGGCATGCTCCATCCTTGGGTGTTTTGGAAAGGAAGCTTTGAAGGAGCCTGCCTTTGTGAAGGTACCGAACTGTCAACCTGGGACTGCTGGCTCCCTCTGAGGGAGCCTTCAGCTATGCATCTGAAACTGTGAAACCACAGTCCCACTGGAAAATGGGACTGCTGGAAGAGAAATGCTCCCAGAATTGAAACCACAGATTGAGTTACATACAGCGAAGCAACTGAAAGCTACGTGTTGACGTTGATCTGCTCCAAAACCTAGAAATAGTTTCAGAAGCCCTAAGAAGTTGTAAGTATTTCTAACCCGGTGTCCCTTTCTGGTCTTTGTCTCCACCCATCTGAGTTGCAGCACTGAGGACCCAAAGCCACCTACAGACCTTGGGATGGGTTATGTTCTCTCCCAGAGGAAACGTCAACGCGTTTTCTTACCAGTGAAGGCTGTGTGAATGTACGTGCACTGTCAGGTTACACTTGGCCTTGATCTCAGTGAAGTTACCCTCAGCTGTTGGGACTCCTCATGACTGTTTGCAGTACAGTGTGCCCAGAGGTGGAACCCACACTGCTCCTGGCCATCCAGCAGGACAAAATCAAAGCTCCAGACAGGTCAACATTGCCCTTAGACTCCACACACACTGCTGGAGCAGGAACGCCCGGCCTGTGCATGTCAGCTTGTCAGCGTACTGTGGACTGCTGCACTCATCCAAGGATCTCCCCGGGAACTATGTGCTTTGTATGGAACATGCTTCCTCTTCTGCTGCTATGAACCATCTCACCTGTAGCTTTATACACATACATATTGTTTGGCATGGTCTAAAGTATTACACAGTATTACTAATGTGCTGTGCTTGTAAATGTGTCCATTTAATATCTGACTTGTTTAACACTTTACTGATTTTTAAAAACCCATTTTTCTTTTGTGGGGAGGGGGTGGGAGGGGACATTTCCTAATAGCATCAGCGGCTCACTGGGGGGTTGGGGAACAATATGAAGGGAAAATGCAAAAACCCAACTCTATCGTGATGATTTTTTTTATGCAGTTAGAAGCAGTGTTGCCCTTTTCTGAAATAGCTGCAGTATTATTACAAGTAGTACAATAAAAATGAACAACCACTAAGGTTTATGTAACGTTTTATATCAAGAAAGATTCTGTTTTGAAGGGCACAAGATTTCATCTACTTACTTGTTTTCAAAAATTAAAGGAAATGGGCAAACCCCATTCTGTGTATTTTAGTTCATCTATTTTATATGACCCTCACCTCACAGATTAAATACTCACAAGCAAGCACCCTGTTAGGGCAGATGTGTGTCCCTCGGTTTTAAACTGGGAACTTGTAAACAAGAGAAGATTTATCAGCTCCTTTGAGCTTGTCCAGTAAATCTGGGGCTGAAAGAAACGGACGTTTCCTGATCTCACAGCTTCATGTCACTGTTAGTTGATATAAATCTATGTTTCCATGGAAGAGTCAGCCCTGCTGCCCCCTCCTGCCCCTGCCCGCCCCACGCCTGGCTGTGGTGTGTGGACCAGGAAGAGCCACACAGCCCTTTTCATACATACTTCAGTTTTTAAAGGATCAGTTCCTTCATCTGTTAATCTTTGAGACACATCTTGCCAGCAATTGTTTCTGGTGCCACTGAACACATGCTAGAAGCCTCAACCAGGCCCCTGTTTCTCACAACATGCTACTGCCAGCTGATGGAGAGGGTCCTTCTCCGTTGTGATGAGGTCCATGGCTTTTAAAACAGGAGTCCTTGCTCTTTACTGAGGTATTCCAGTTAAACAACAGAAGCTAAGGATAGCCAAGAGTTCTTTGCTGTAAATGGCTAGTGACAAAATATCAGGGTATGCTTTCTAGTTCTATCAGCTTGCTGTTCATATAGTCCATCAGCCAACTCCACTACCCACTCCTGGCACTTACTACAGCACTAGAGAAGAGGCAGAGCAGCTTCTCTTAAATGTTATGGTAAAACATCTCATGAAGAACACTGAGAATTCTGGCTGATCTCTTTTTACTTAAATTAAACCACCCACTTATTTACCACAGTATACACAGACGAATCGTTCCTCTCCTCTTCCCAAAGGGCTAAAGACTGCATGCAGTTAAGGCATGCCATGCTCAAAAGGGCAAACTGCAGCTATGCAGGCAGAAACCTCCAGGGCCAAGTTCGGTGCAGGCAGTCCTGTGGCGTTCAGCTGTGCTCTGATCAGCGCTGCCACCGGCAGCCCCAGCTCCCACACTCACATGAGAGGTGGAATGGGCTCATGAGGTCTCAAAGAGGAGGCCACGGAGCTGCTGCGAGGGCTGGAGCAGCTCTGCTCTGGAGCCAGGCTGAGAGAGCTGGGCTGGGTCAGCTGGAGAAGAGAAGGCTCCTTAAGGGGAGACCTTAGAGCAGCTCCAGTGCCTAAAGGGGCTCCAGGAAACCTGGAGACGGGCTTTGGAGAAGGGATGTAGGGACAGGACAAGGGGAATGGCTTTAACCTGCCAGAGGGGAGACTGAGATGAGCTCTTGGGCAGAAGTTCTCCCCTCTGAGGGTTCTGAGGTGCTGGCACAGGGTGCCCAGAGAAGCTGGTCATAAGCAGGAATCAAGAGAACAGGCTACTAAGGAAAGCAAAAGACAACTAATATCTCTGTGTTGTCTGCAGGGATGAAAGCATGATGTATTGCGAGTGACAGTTAAGTGCTTATTTTTAGATATTCTTTCCAGAAAACTAGCCCAGGTTACGTTTAAAAGTCTCTGCTTGTTTGTCAAAGCTTTTGGCTCAGCCTTCATAGCAACCTTGTTGGGTTCTTGTGGCACAAACTTCTCCCCAAGCTTTAGGGCCTACTGCTTGTGTAGGTACTACTTCTCCCTCCTCTCCTGCACTTCCTCCCCAGTACAATTCATACCACAAGCTCTACCACTGCATCTGGTGGGGATGGAGGCTATTAGTTGATCAGATTCATTAAAAGTAAGTGATAGCACATGGTGACCATGGGTGGGGAAGGAAAGGAAAGGGAAGTGCTGTGATATAAGGGAAGGTGGGGGGGAAGCTGTTTTGGGGAAGAAGTTGGAGTGGAGTCTTATGGGAGTGCTGTTATGGATGGTTGTTAGCTCTCTCCTGGAGTCATTTTCTGAACGTAGTGACTGCGATCTCCACTACCTGCCTCAAGTACAAAGCAGGTAGGGACTGTGGGGTGGGTGACAGAGTTTTGTTTGAGCTAGATTTCTAGCACTGTAACTTCTGGAATGTGTGAGTTTCATGTATTGCTGGATTGTGTTGGAGGCCTCTGTGTGCTGTGCTCTGAATTGGCAAAGTTGTTGCAGGATTTAGCCTAACCTGTGTCCAGCTTAAATTGTAAGAATGCTCCATGTATTGCAGTGCTGTTGCTAGTTAAAAATCCTCATTGCTTAGATCATTCAAGTCACA